CTTTCTTAGTTTAACCACCACCTTTCACTCTCCTGCGGTTAAAATAAGAAAGTTATAGCTAGCACGGCAAAGCTTTGACCACAACCCCATAATATTATACCTGCTCCAGCCAATTGAGAAAGACCTAATCGAACCATGGATTCTAGAATCAAACAAGAAATAGGGTTTCCTTGTGTTTCAATTAACCGCCAACGTTCAAAATAGAATTGCAAGTGGAAAAAGCTCATATGCTTGCCCGAGGATTTCTCCAAAGTGGATTCTCTAGCATTGGTTGATCGATATGTAACATAATAATTAACAACCATTCATTGCAATAACGTGCTGCAGGGTATGAAAATATTTGTTGACCCTTGTCATGTGCCTGAATCTTCAACGTTTGCTTAGTATCCAAGGTTGCTGTACAGCGCTAATGTCAATATTTTATTTGTCTTGTAGAGGTTGAAAAACAGATAAAGAAAGCAACGTCACATGCCGTTTAATAGAATAATTACTCTATCATTATATTAATTTTTAACCTTTTCTTAATTGAGTATATAAATTTTAATTTTTTTCAATTGAGTACTTTAATTTTTTCAAAATTGACAATCAAATACTTCTATCAAATTTTTCATTAACTCGGTGATATGTCTAATACCTTCAAAATTATAAATAATAATTTTATCATTTTTCTCAATCGAATATATGAATTTTAATTTTTTTATTTGAGTACATCAGTCTTTTCAAAACTATTAATTAAGTATTTTCATCACTTTCTTCGTTAATTGATGACGTATTTGAATATAAAATTATAATTTTATCATTTTTGTTAATTAAAAAAATTATTTTTTATCCCTAAAATTTCAAACTAAACTCAATTAGGTTGTCGTTAAAAAAAAATTAAAAGTGAAAATTATAGGAAAAACACAAATAAATCTTCTCGATGAAAAATCTCATACTTGTGTTTCCTTTAACTTTCACTCCTAAAACCTAACTAATTCTTTTTTAACAACAAGCCTTGCTAAGTTTAGTTCGAAAATTTATAACTAAAAATATATATTTTTAATTATTTATCAAATTTTAAAATGATAAAATGATTTTAGGAGAAATTTTTTTACAAAAAAAAGATGAAAAAAAATGTAATTTGGTATTTGGACACGTTATCAATTAATAGAGAAATTGACGAAAATACTTAATTGACGAGTTTTGAAAAAATTAATGTACTTAATCTGAAAAAATTAAAATTTATATACTCTATTGAGAAAAAAAGATAAAATTATAATTTGATAGTTTGAGGATAACGTATACGTCAAAACTTAACGGAAAAATTAACGAAAGTACTTGATTGATAGTTTTGAAAAAATTGATGTACTTAAATGAAAAAAAAATTAAAGTTTATATATTTAAGTGAGAAAATATTAAAAGTTAATGTACTTATACTGTAATTATCCAGCTCTTTAGTAGTTAATTATTCCTTTTCTTTTATTTTTTTTGAAATGGTGAAAATTAAAGTCTTTGACTAATGTTTCAAGCAACCAACTATATTTTTCGGGATAAGTAAATTAATTGAGTAGGCGAAGTTTTAGAGAGTAACAATAATACTTTATTGCTCCTTTCCACTGAATTGTAATTGTTTTGTTCACTGGTTACAAATATAATAACCTCATGAATTGTATTATTTTTGGATTTTAATATTATTGAGTTTTTAGACTTCTTTTTAAGTATTTTTAGGGTTTTCATAGATAAAATAAAATACTAATAATATACTATATAGATTTAGGTAAAAGATTATTAGATTACACTATAATTCAGGTTTAAAGATTTGAAAACTATGAATCTAGCTAAGGGACCAACTTTCAGCTATCTAACTCAATATAGTTTAAATAACCCACTATATGATTTAAGTTTATTTTATTTTTATTTTTATTTTTATTTTATTTTTTTTATAGAACTCAATTTTAACTATCCAACTTAATATTGTATGACAGACTTCAAAGAGACTCAACGGTTCAGCAAAGATTATAAAACTTAAGTCACTTGACAATTTTTAAAAAATGGACTCCAAATAAGAAGTAGAGTTAGAGAATACATCATATATTAAATAGTTAAACCAAAACTCGATTAATATAGAATGTTGAAAATGAGTCATTCACCATAAGACTTAAGCTTTTTAGATAAAATCTAATTTCAACTATGTAATTCAATATAAATAAATAAATAAATAAATAAAAGAAGAAGCAAAACTTGGATAGGCTAAAATGTCTTGGTGCTCATTTAACTACCTTTCCAGTCTCAATTGTCCTATTCAAAAAACCTTTTCATGTAAATTTTCTTGAAAACTTATTATTGATATCCTATCTAGTAAAGTTGTTTTTTTTTTTAAAAAAAAAAAAAAAGTATGGTACCCTTACTCATTTTATTAATCAAAATAAAATAATATATGGGGAAACAATCCAGCTTTACCCTAAAAGGAGGACTAGGAAGCCTAACCTTTAGAGAAAAGACAATAGACCATTACTAATGATAATTTTATAACCATACAATCTTGCCTAAAAGCATGAATGATTTCTAAAGGTAAATCTTGAAAATTATAAAAGACCTTACAATCTACATGACTATAAGCTACATTAGTTAGTCTATCCGCAACTATGTTTTGTTTTCAAAGTACATGAACAATTAAATTACCTTCTAGAAGATCCTAACGCTGGCAGAGTTATTGAACATATTTCCATGGCCATTGAGTTTTATTTAACAGAACATTTACAGCTAGCAGAGAATTAAATTCTATTCCAACATGTCAAATCGATAATTCATGACTTAAAGTGAGGCCTTCTCGTAAAGAAAATATCTCCTCTTGCGTATTCGAACTTAGTCCATAAAAATCAGAGAAACAAACAACTACTGCTCCAGTCCATGGTCTGATAATACCACACCCAGTACATCTTCCATTCCTGACAGACCCATCAGTGTTCAACTTAAAAGAATCCATCAGTGGAGGAATCCATTTAAACCACACCCCTTTCACTATTAGACCTAAAAGATCGATAGTCTAAGAATTTTGATCTTCTCTAAACCTTGAGAGTTAGATTCTCGTTTAGAATGATGAATCATACGCATATCAGACAATAAAATTCTAGTACCTAAAATGATCAACTCAACATTCATAGAAATATCATCATATCTAGCTCGAAACATATGTTTCCATTCTAACATTAAACAAAGAAGCATGTAGCTACTTGACATGTACCCATTTGTGTTCGAGTTGAACACATCCATGTTTTTAGAATATCATTTATTGTGCTACACATGTATTTAAGGTCGAATATACTCCCGAAGTGATGCCAAACTTGCCAAGCCACATTCGAATTGAAGAATAAATGTTCATAAGATTCCCTCTAATAATTCTGCCAATAATGACATATAGACACTAAAGTAACACGGTAACAAATATATATTGTTAGCACTTGATCTCGACCCTCTATTTTTACAAAATTTTCTAAAAAAAATTCAGAAATGCTAAAAATACGCATTTTATTCGATTTCTCTAATTTTAAACTTTAGCCTTTTTTTAAGTTTGTTATGAGTTTTATTAGCGATGAAAAAAAAGATGAAGTATATATAAAAAAATGGAAAAAAGAAATTAAAAAAAGAGAGAAAAAATAAATAAAGAAAAAAGGGAAAAAAATAAAAGGAGAGAAAAAGAAATAAGGAGAATAAAAATAGGATTAATTAAGGGGTTTAATTAAAAAATATTTGAAACTACCATGGGTCAATCTGAGAATAATAGAAATATAAGGAAGGAATTAGAAATAATTAAAGGCCCAATTAATGGAATGGAGGGGCCAAAATACAGCAAAGTGACAGATTTGACTGATAAAAATTAGAATATGCAAGGGTCAACTTAAATCAGGTGCTAGAAAAACGGGACTAACTTATACACTTGAAAATAAAACTTTCAACCGTACAGGTATGCAACAGCTCTTTCAATAAATTTTATAATAATTTAAGAATAACTATGGATAATTACGATACTTATTTTATGAATTCATTTTTATAAAAGAAAGAGACAAAAAAGATAGAATAAAAAAATTTAAACGGACGCGTAAAAATCTTTTTATCATTTTTAATGAATATGAATGTAATTTATTTTTTTAATCTATCTCTATTATTAAAGTTAACTGTAACTTTTATCCATACTATTAGTTACTGTTTATCTTCTTCCTCCACGCACGTTTGCTCTGTTTTTGGTTAGAAAAGAAAGCTTTTTAGGTCCTAAAACGGCGAAAAAAAAAAACCCTGCCCTCTTGACATCTCGCCGCCCCCTCTCTCCCATCACCACAAATAGTCACCCATTTAGCCCTTCTTCGACACGTTTTCGGGCTGCCAAAGTGGCCGCCATGAGAAGACAACTCATGGCAGTAACCACCTTTGTCCGCCAAGAAGTGACAAGAGAAGAGCTTCTGTCACTTCAAAACGAAGGGTGAGGATCTACCAATGACAAATAAAGGGTTGGGATGAAAAAAAGAAGGAAAATATAAAAGCAAGCAAGGGAGAATAAGGAGAGAAGGAAGAGACTCTGAAAGAAAAAAAAAGAAAGAAAAAAAAAACCAGAGGTGCTTGCATTGTGAGGGAGACTTTTGGAGAGAAAAAGAGAGGTAGAAAGCTGAAGAGAAAGAGAAACAAAGACATTTGGTAAAATTGTGAAGCCTGGAGAGTGGTTTGGAAGGAAAGAGAGTAGAAGGAAACAAGAAAAAAAAAAGGAAAAAAAACATCCATTTTGAAGTGAGCCACTCAGCGAAGAAGGTACCTTCAGCCCTTCAACTTTGCAAGTTCATTGTAGGTTCAAGAGGTATCCTTTTCAACTCATTATTCTTTTGTTTTACTGTTATATATCCATGTTCGATGTGTAAAATTTTGTGTCATTTAAGTTTCGTTTTAAGCTTCAGAGTTACACCAAAAGTAGGGGGATGGGTAATGAAAAACTTTTTCTGTTTGAAGTTGCGTTTTTCCAAGTTTATTTTATCTCACTCCCAGTAACCTTTGAGGGTTATTCTTTGTCTGAGGTGTAGATTATCTGGAGAATTAGAAAATGGGTCCACAGCATGGGATTCCAACTCTTCAAATGTATTTACAATAATACCCTTATTGTCCCTAAACCTTCTGGTGTCTCTAAGGAAAACAGGCCACTCTTTGTCAAGTAGATAAAAAAGCAAGACCTTAGCAGGAAGTGGGTTTGTCAGACACGGCATGACCAACTCAGCAGCCGAGTCCTTTAACTCAGTGGAGTCAACTTTCTGCTCATTATAAAGTTAGGTAATTGAGATTGATTTCATCTAAAAGATTTAAGCTTTATAATTGGTGACTATTTCTCAACTTAATATATTATTTATTATTGATTTAACTATTCAATGTGAGATATGTTCTAACACTCCTTCTCACTTGCAGTTCATCTTTTATGATCCGTCAAGTGATTTAAGCTCTATGATATTTGCTTGGATCGTTGGATCTTTTTGAGATTCTGATATCATATAGAGTTAGATAATTGAGATTGTATTTCATCCAAAAAAACTTAACTCTCATAATGGATAACCCCTTTTCAATTTTATATACTATTTTTTATTGATTTAACTATTTAATATCGTACATGTTCTAACACTCGTCACGAAGAAGAGCCTGAATATAAAACTCAAGACCAAGAAAAGCTGCACCTGATGTAAAGAAAACATAAGAGGGAACACCAGATTCATTGGCCACATCTATCATTGATGTACAAAACATATCAAGAACAATCCCAGCAAGTCTAGGCGAGTCCTGACTTAACTCGGAGTGACTCACAAGCTTAGAGACTTCTTCTTTGACATGGGGTCTCTGGGCTTCAATCAATGAAAAAAGAAACTTGCTGGGTTGGTTTGGATCAGGCACATGTTTAGGCAAGTCAATGAACTGTATACGTTTGCAAGCTGCACTTACTGAATCAACGTAGCAATCAACTTTGGAATCAAAACGTAGACTCATGACGAGGAAGGTGACTGAAAGCCTCTCATCACAGTCTACAAGAAGCTTAGCCACCTCTACCATGGATACCAGGTGGCTTATACCTGGTGAAGGAATGAAGACTAGCTCAGCTTTGGTCATTTTGAAATGGAGTTCTCTTTTTTCTCTTTCAGTAACTTGGTGAATGTGAGGCAAAATGTGAAAATATTTATTTTCATTACCTTTATTTGCATAATTTGTAGCCATACATAGTTCTGGATGTGAGATTGGCATTTTGTTAATCATATTCGTAAAGGATGAGAAGAAGAGTGAGGTCGTGGAAGATTGAACAGCTACACATTGCGACAATTAGACCAAATTTAAAAAAAAAAAAAAAAACAAAAACAAAAACAAAAAAAAAAGGTTTTTTGACTTTTTTTTTTTTTGAATGTCCAAAAAACCTCTACAAGAGTGCTAAGTTTAATTTACTTTTTTGTCTATTTTTTTATTATTATTTATATTTATTTTGATTAAAATTTTAAATGTTGTAGTGTATTAAAATATATTTAGTTAATATTGATTTTCGTTTCATATAATGCATGATTAAATTTGATTATAAATAATTTTTTAAAAAAATGAATAAAATATGCTAATGTAACGTAATAATTAACAATTTTTTTTCAATATGTATACAAAGTTAAAAAGAGTACTTTTAAAAAAAATAAAAAAAATAAATAACAACGATTCAATATTGCAATAACGTGTTGCCGGGTATGAAAATATTTGTTGACCCTTATCATGTGCCTGAATGATGACGCTAGCTTGCTTTAGTTTCCAAGGTGCTGTACAGCGGTAATGTCAATATTTTATTTGTCTCGTAGACGTTGAAAAACAGATAATGAAAGCAACATCACATGCTCTTTTATAGTTAATTATTTCTTTGTTTCAATATATATAAAAAGTTAAAGACAATAATCATTTTAAAACAAATGTAATAAATAACAATGATTCATTGCAATCAGTGTTGCAGGTTGTGAAAATATTTGTTGACCTTTGTCATGTGGCTGAATCATCGACGCTTGCTTAGTATCCAAGGTGCTGTACAGCGCTAAGGTCAATATTTTATTTGTCTCATGGACGTTGAAAAACAGATAATGAAAGCAACATCACATGCTGTTTAATAGGATAATTACACTGTAAATATATTAATTTTTTTAAAATGAGAATATGAATTTTAACTTTTTTATTTGAGAATATTATTTTTTAAAATTATTAATCAAATATTTTTGTCAATTGTTCTTTTAACAGATGAAGTATTTTGTACTCTCATTTAAGCATATCAATTTTTTCAAAATTGTCAATCAATTATTTTCATTGCTTTCTTCATTTATTGATGACGTATTCAAATATGAAATTATAATTTTACTTTTTTTATTGAAAGAAACTTTCTCCTTAAATCATTTTACTATTTTATAATTTGAAAAATAATTAAAAAAATATTTTATTTCTAAAATTTCAAACTAAAAGCAATTAGGTTACTCGTTAAAAAAACTCGAGTTTAAAAGTGAAAAATTGAAGAAAACACAAACGAATCTTCCCAATGAAATATCTCACATTTGTGTTTTCTTCAATTTTCACTCCCAAAACCTAATTAGTTTTTTTTTTTTAATTAGATATTGCTTAGTTCAATATTTTATAACTAAAAATATATATTTTAAATTTTTTGTCAAGTTTTAAAATGATAGAACAATTTTGAGAGAATATTTCTTAGAATAAAAGATGAAAAAAAATAATTTGATATTTAGACATGTAATTAATTAATGGATTATGATTGTAGAACTTTATTTCAAGATTTGATGTTATCGACAATATTGCTAAGTCATTGAAAATTTATTGTGATAACTATGCAGTAGATTTCTTCTCCGAAAATTGACAATTATTCTAATAATGCTAAACATATTGTCATTACCCAATTTTTTTTCCTTTAAAGGAAAAAAAAAGAATAATAAAACAAAAAAGGAAAAAATATAAAATCTCCATAAAATCATTCAAAAATCTGTTCAAATCTTCCACAAATCTTTTTTAATTAGAATCTCCTTATTTTTAGCTAGAAAAATCTCAAAATTAAGATTTGATAATTAAAATTTGATTTTTGAATTGATTTTGGAAGAAATTTTAGGATGTTTTCGGCCTATAAAAAGCTTTCGGATTTCAATTTGCGGGAGAGAGAAAAAAGAGAAGAAAAAAAGAAGAAAAAACACAACAAAAAAAAAAATATTGAAAACCTAAAAAGAAGAAGCCAAACACGCCCTAACCCAATAACCATATCCGTTTACCCAATCGAAACTTTTGAGCCTCAATTGATCGTTTTTCGATCGGATTTTGACCTCGATCAACATACCCAAGTGTAGCCCATCACTAGATCGGTTTATCAACACCGGTTAGAGAGAGAAACAATCACGGAGGAGAGAGAAATCGGAGATCAAACCACCACAACCCGACCCGAAACAATACCCGTTCGTTTCTCTCAACTTCGATCACCAACATAAGAACCACCACCACAACACTAATCGTCGGTCTTCCCCGAGTGTTTTCATATAAAAATCTCGACCCAACGATACCGGAAAATGGTTTAATTGAGCTAAACTCGTTTTCAACCCGTTTGAAAAACCCAAACAAATTGGCCGATCTAGAAGTCGTTGAAGGCTCTAACCATCATAGACATCTTCCTCTCGACCTCCCGAGTCGACCGGTTGGCTTACAATTCGAGAGGAGGTCGGATTCATCGCCGGTGAAGAAGGGAGATCCGACCGGACCTTTGGAGGCTCCAATCTCCCTCCTCCGGCTTCATCTCCGAGATGAGACCACCACTCGTTAGACTCACCGTGACCGGATCTACAAGGCGGGGTGTTCCACACGCCCGAACGGTCATCGGAAGGCGAACGGTCACTTGGCGATGACTCTTGGCATTCTATGGACATTTTGGTAATTTTATAATGTATGCGAATTTTGGACTCGTTTGGTTTATTTTATGTGTTTTGTAGTTTTTTTTTTTATTTTACATATGCATGCTAGAAAATTTGAAGATACATAGTTGTGAAATTTATTTTAACATGAGATTTTTTTATTTTTTTTATGATTAAAATATTGTATCAATGAGTCTCCTATTTATTAAGGACGGACGATGATTTCGATATATATATATATATATATATATATTGTTTCGATTGATTTTAGTTAATTAAAATTTTAAAAGTTTTCTTAAAAATAAATAAATAAATGTTTTTTTTTCGACGAAGTCTCCTATCTAATAGGGACCGACGTCACCAAAAATCTAAAATTCTCGACGAAGTCTCCCGTCCGATTGGGACTAACATCACCAAAAAAAAATCATTGTTTAAATCGAGATATCCTCCAACACACCGGTTGTGTTAAGGCTTAAAGTGGATCCGATGTTTAAATCGATGTGTCGTCCGACAAAGGGGATCGACGATCGTTTGAATACGATGCCACGCTCAAAACTAAAAAATTCAATTTGTAAAAAAAAATGAGAGATTAAGAATCAGAAAATAATTTGACGTAAATAAAATATTTTGGGAGATAAATTTAGAGCTAAACCGGACGTGGTACTTTTTTTCGAAAATGGCACGTTTGGATGATCGATATCTTTCCAAAAACGTAACCAACTCCTTACCATAGAATCTCCGAACCGAGTGTCCGTTTTAGGTTCCTAATTCTTTCAATACTAGGTGACGACTCCAAACTCGTAAATAAACTTCTAAATATTCAATCTAATTTTAGATATTTTCGAGGAGTTCCGTCCGACGTCGGGTAACGACACATATAAAAATTAATTGCTTTGTCGTTAAAGAAGAAGTTCAAAAATAAATAGTGCCAATTGAGCACATTAGCATGAATCTTATAATTACAAATCATTTTACAAAAGGATTGGCACCAAAAACATTTCATAAACATGTTGGAAGGACGAATATTATTGGACGTCATTACCGATATTGTATTATATTTTTATTAAGTTTATATATTTGACATTCTATGCTCACTTGCATATTTATAAGTATTTATATTTTTTACTTGATATACGTAATTGCTTTAGAATTATGTTGATAAAAATAGTATTATAATAAAAATATTAAAATTAGATAATTATATATCATCTTCATTAAAGATTATATTAAGTTGAAACTTAATATTGTGATACATAAAGATATTGTATCAAGGAAATGACATACATACAATCCCTGTGACTCTCATTAATTTTTCATTTAAGTAATAATATAATGTTAGTCGATGATAATTAAAGTTAAACTCAAGGAGGAAGATGATGAATAGTATTTTTGTGTATGGAAAAAAAGATATTTTTTAAAACAAAATATTATTAAATTAAGATCAATACTAGTCAATAAATTAATTAATTAGTTCATGATACAGAAGATACTACTTAATTTATAGAATCCAAAAGAACTCCCTTATAATGATAATAATAATCTTGGAACTCAAAAATTAATCCAAAAGAGACGAATATATTGTTCCCCATGACAGCAAAGCCATGACCGCACTCTTATATTCTTATCCACCGCGAATCTCATTCATCTCAAATCAAGAACTCCCTTATAGCCACAGTTAAGGTCTCTACGTCAACCACCACCGCAAGGTAAGATGGAATCTCCAACTGATTACGTGGATCTTCAAGAAGTCTTATCTGAAGGATTTTTGGATCGAACGATCGAGATTGGAAAAGTGATTGGATGGGCTCCACAAGTAGATATCTTAGCTCATCCATCGGTGGGAGGGTTTGTATCGCACTGCAGATGGAACTCTGTATTAGAATGCATATGGTTTGGTGTTCCAATCGCTACATGGCCATTGCATGCAGAGCAACAATTCAATGCTTTCCAAATGATTGTTGAGTTAAGATTAGGAGTTGAGATTAAAATGGATTATAGAAAAGATCCTTTTAATATAGATGGTAATGAAAGTTTAATTACTAGTAAAGAAATAGAGAGAGGAATAAGGTGTTTAATGGAGCTTAATCATGAGAAAAGAAGGAAGTTGAAGAAAATGAGTGAGACGAGCAAGAAGGCTTTGATGAACGGAGGATCATCGTATACTTGGTTAGGTCGTTTGATTCAGGATATTATGGACCGATTGCCATGAGTAAAATATACTTTTTTTTTGGCAGTTGAATGTTGGTAATTCTATAAAGAGGTTTGTTGACTTTTTTAATTTTCTAGGTTCAAACATTGAAAGTAACATCATGTTAATAGAAAGTGTATTTTTAAAATTATCTGAAAAGAGGTTTAGTCTTAATTGATTGTTAAGCCGATAATACCACTAAATCGATTTAGCTATCAATCTTGGAGTCAAAACCTAGTTTCATGATGAGGAGGGTGATTGAAAGCCACATGTACCATGGATACAAGGTGGCTTATAGTTGGCGCCCAGCTTTCTTCATCATTCTTCCTTACGAACAACAATTGAACGTGATTTCGACATACTAAAGAAAAGATTTCGATGTATTGATGCTCGACCATTTTAGTCTTATAAAACTCAAGTGAATATCGTGCTTTCAAGTTGTATCCTTCATAATCATATAATAGGGCTTGACCACGATGATTATGTTATGGAAGAAATTACCACATTAAGCCAATCCATTATTGTATAGAAACCATTTAAGTCAAAGAGAGAAAAAGGAAGAGAATAAGGAATGGTTAACGAAAAAAGAGGTAATTGCATTAGATATGTGAAATGACTATGTTATACAACGTGATTGTGATTTTAAAGCATCATCAATGTATTCACTTATGTTTTACTTCTTAACCGAATGTATGGCTTATGAGATAAATTGATAGAATGGAAAGAGCTTTTTATTTTATTTATCCAACCAAGTTTTTTATTATAATTTTATTATATAACATTTTTTTATAACTAATTATATTATTTTTTATGTTTCAGTTGTCATATTAAAAAATGCCAAATCAAATTTTTATCCTTTAATTATATTAAAATTCGTCTCATCAATTTTTTTTGTAAATTACAAGTAGTGTTATTTTAATTACAAAATATCACATTATTATTTATTAGTTTAAGTTTATAAATTTTAATATAAAAAAGTTCAACAAGATTAACTTTATTTCTTTTCTCATGCTAAAAAAAATAATAATAATAATTCTATTAAAAAATATCAATAGGAACATGTTAAAAAAAGTTCAAATATTTTTTGTGTGCCTTGTTGAAATTAATTATACAAAATATCATATTATTATTTATTGGTTTAAATTTATGAGATTGTCAATATGTCTTATTAAAATTCTTTCAAAACTTATTAATATAACAATTATTGTCTCGTTTTTGTATTTTCGTTTTTTATATCAAACAAACATTGAAAAATGTTTTTCAATAGTTTTTCCATTCAACTGCTAAACGTTAGAAAATATTTTTTTAAAAAAAACAACAACCTAAAAAATAACTTCCTCGAATTGATTTTCCTTCTAAAATTATTTTCTCTCGTACATACGAAGCCTTAGTTGATTTCCCCCTTTCATATTGAAATTGCGCTTATCTTATTGTCCCTGGAATTCTACATAACTTCTGAGTTTGGATGTCAGAAATACTTGGTAGTACGGGAGATGTAGCCATGTAGGGTTGAATCTCATGTTCACCGAGGGGTTTAAAGGACAGGGAACGTGATGGCGCTTTGTTTCATGAATCTTATGTTTGTGGTGGTGCCTTTTGTTCGTTACATTTAGGAAATTTGACTCGATTTTGAACAAAATTAAGCTCTACTGACCTGTTACTTTTTTGTGCTTGGAATCGTCGCACTTTCGTATGTTCTTTCCGCTTGAACTTTACTAATCATTTGTTCGAAATATCTGAAGTATTATTTTCTTTTTAATGATTATATCATTCTCATGTTTTCTTATTTTTCATTTTTTTAATTAATTTTTCAAACTAGAAGGACCATTTCATTCGTTATCAAAAACTAGAAGAACTAATTTATAATTTATTCATTCAAGAAATGCAACCAGATCTTTAAAAAAAAAGCATTTTTATTAGATGAAGGGAAAAAAAAAGATACATTTTATTCATTCATGGCATGTTGTCCAGCATGTCTTGAATCAATTGACCTAACCAATTATACGAAGATCCATCGTTTATCAAAGCCTTTCTACTCTTTTCACTCATTTTCTTTAACTTCTTCCTTTTCTCATCATCAAGCTCCATTAAACACCTTATTCCTCTCTCTATTTCTGCACTAGTAACAATATTTTTATTACCATCAGTATTAAGAAGTTCCTTTCTGTAATCCATTTTAATTTCCACTGCCAATCCTAATTCCACAATCATTTGGAAAGCATTGAATTGTTGCTCTGCATATAATGGCCATGCGGCAATCGGAACACCAAACCATATGCTTTCCAATGTAGAGTTCCATCCACAATGTGACACAAATCCTCCCACTGATGGATGAGCCAAAATTTCTATTTGTGGAGCCCATCCAATAACTTTTCCCATCTCCATAGTTCGATCTAAGAATCCTTCAGGCAAGGCTTCTTGAAGATTCACATAATTAGTTGGAGCTTCCATCTTACCCTGAGGTGGTGGTTGACGTAAAGACCACAAGAATCGATGCCCACTCTGCTCTAGCGCACATGCAATTTCTCTTATCTGATCCACTTCGAAACTTCCCATGCTACCAAAACATAGATACACTACAGAGGAAAGAGGTTGATCGTCAAGCCATTGTTTGATGTCTTTGTATTTGTTGCTTCTATCTGACCCTGTATCGCGATCACCATCTCTATTAAGATTCAAAATGGGACCCACAGGATACACCGGAGGAGTATTACCATTAGAAAAGGAACTCAGAGCATGGGATTCCAACTCCTCAAACGTATTTACGATAATACCTTTAGTTTCCCTAAACCTTCTCGCTTGGTCAAGGAAAGCAAGCACCCACTCTTTTGTTAAGCATAACAGAAGGCAAGACCTTAGCAGGAAGTGGATTCGTTAGACACGGCATGACCAACTCGGCATCCGAGTCCTTGAACTCAGTAGGGTCAACTTTCTGCTCATGATGAAGAGCCTGAATATAAAACTTAAGACCAAGAAAAGCTGCACCTGATGTATAGAAAATATAAGAGGGAACACCAAATTCATTGGCCACATCTATCATTGATGTACAAAACATATCAAGAACAATCCCACCAAGTGTAGGCGAGTCATGGCTTAGCTCGGAGTCACTCACAAGCTTAGAGACTTCTTCTTTGACATGAGGTTTCTGGGCTTTTATCCATTGAAAAAGAAACTTGTTGGGTTGGTTTGGATCAGGCTCATCTTTAGGCAAGTCAATGAATTGCATACGTTTGCAAGCTGCACTCACTGAATCAATGTAGCTATCAATCTTGGAATCGAAACGTACCCTCATGATGAGGAAGGTGATTGAAAGCCTCTCATCACGGTCTACAAGAAGCTTAGCCACCTCTACTGTTGATACCAGATGGCCTATACCTGGTGCAGGAATGAAGATTAGCTCAGCTTTCGTCATTTTGAAATTGGGCTCTCTTTTTTCCTTTCAATGACCGTGTAAATGCGAGAGAGTGTAAAAGGTAGGGATTTTCATTGCCTTTTATAAGCATTATCTGTGGCTATGGATAGGTCTGAATTTGAGATTGGTATTGTGCGAGCCATATTCGTGCAGGACAAGTATAAGAGTGAGGTCATGGCTTTGCTTGTAAGATTGAACAGCTACTACAAAGTGACAAGTGGACCAAAGGAAAAGTTCTTTTGTCCGTATCAGAACTTTAGATGCATTAGGTGTCCTACACTCATAGAAATTTCTTTTAGGAAGTTCTTCTTGACCGTTATTGATCCTGTTTCTTGACCGTTTTTTTGTTCCTGAATGTCCGAGAAGCCTGTAATGAAAACAATATATTTATTTATTTGAAAGAAATCCCTAACTTTCAATTTACAATGCTTAATAAAAAAAAAAACATTTTTGATTTGTGGCTAAATGGGTCAATTTATGCTTAATAAAAAATTAATTTATTTAAACTTAATCATCGTGTACTAAATAAGTAGCATGATGAATATAAAGGAATACAAGTCTCAATTGAATTGTGGCTAAATGGGTCAATTTTTTAATTTTTTTTTTAAATTGAAATTATTTAAAATTCAGTTTTTGAATTTCAAAATTAATTTTTGACATCTCTAAATTTTAATTTTTGTAAGATTTAGTCTATTCGATGATTTTCAATAATCACTACCTTCTCTAAAAAATTCAATTTTTAATATTTTAAACTAAAATTTTGAACCAAAATTTCACAAGCACGTTGAAAAATTTTTAGAATTTATTTTTTTAACATTAAAAATATAAAAAAATAAAAAAAATAACTCAAAATAATCTCAAATATTTTTAGAAATCCCATATAAATATAATAAATGACTTTTATTATAGAACTGTTTATATAGTTATTTTTGAGAAAATGCTAAAAATTCAAAAAAAAAACAAAAGACTAAATTCGAAAAAAAAAATTCTGGAATTCCAAAAATTAAATTTGAAGTTCAAAATAATTCAAATTTCAATTAATTAAAATTGAAGAAAGATTTGACCTAATTAGCTTGAAATATTGACAAATATTCTTTCTATTTCTTACAAGAATAATTGCTCCAAAGGATATTATCAGTCTCTCTCCAATTAGATGTTTCGATGAACAAGACGAAAAATCCACAGATCATCAAAGCTCTCTTACTTACATAATATAGCCTTTTTTTTTAATGACAAATTCATTTTCACAAATTTCTTAGATTGGACTAGAATAAACAAAATGTTCATCGATTGTCGTCATGACATTTGTGTCATTTCACATTCATCCTGAAAAATAAAAATTTCGTTCAAAATCGAATGAAAATCTGTTATATTCTGTTTATCCTGACAATATTAAAAGAAATTAAAGAAAGACAACCGATCTACAAGGAAAAAAAAACATTTATTAGATAATATTAAAAGAAAGCACATTTCATTCATGTCATGTTGTCTATCATATCTTGAATCAAACGATTTAACCATGCGTACGATGATCCACCGTTCATCCAAGCTTTCCTACTCTTTTCACTCATTTCTTTCAACTTTTTCCTTTTCTCAGGATCAAACTCCATTAAACATCTTAGTCCTCTCTCTATTTCTTCAGCAGGAATAACACTTTCATTACCGTCCGTATTGAAGAAATCTAATCTGTAATCCATTTTAATCTCCACTGCCAATCCTAACTCAACAATCATTTGGAAAGCACTTAATTGATGCTCTGCATACAGTGGTATTGTGGCAATTGGAACGTCAAACCATATGCTTTCCAATACCGAATTCCATCCACAGTGCGATACAAATCCTCCGATACAAGAATGTGACAAAATATCTATTTGAGGAGCCCATCCGATTATTTTTCCGATTCCGGCCGTTCTATCTAAGAATCCTTCAGGTAAGACTTCTTGAGGATTCAGATAATCACTCGGAGCTTCCATCTTACCTTTCGGCGGTGGTTGGCGCAGAGACCACAAGAATCGATACCCACTCTGCTCTAAAGCACATGCAATTTCTTTTACCTGGTCGACGTCGAAACTTCCCAGCGTCCCAAAACATAGATACACTACTGAGGACTGAGGTTGATCATCAAGCCATTGTTTAATATCTTCGTAGGTGTTGCTTCCATCCGGATCACCATCTCTGTTAAGATTCAAAAGCGGACCCACTGGGTATACTCGAGGAGTGTTACCATTAGAGAAGAAGTTCACAGCTGGGGACTCCAACTCTTCAAATGTATTTACCAGGACACCCTTAAATTCCTTAAACCTTCTAACTTGACCGAGGAGAAGAGACAGCCACTCTTTCTTAAGCATAGCAGAAGGCAAGACCTTAGCAGGAAGTGGGTTTGCAAGAAACGGCACTACCAGCTCAGCATTCGAGTCCTTCAACTCAGTAGGATCAACCTTCTGCTCATCATGAAGAACTTCAATATAAAACTCAAGAGCGAGAAAAGAAGCGCTTGATACAAAGAAAAGATAAGAGGGAACACCAAATTCGTTGGCAACATCTATCATTGATGTACAAAACATATCAACAACAATCCCAGCAAGTCTAGGCGAGTCAGGGCTTAACTCGGACCGACTCACAAGCTTAGAGACTGCTTCTGTGACAGGTTGTTTCTGGGCTTCAATCCTTTGAAAAAGAAACCTGCTGGGTTGGTTGGGATCAGGCTCATGTTTAGGCAAGTCAACGAACCGTATACGTTTGCAGAGTGCACTCATTGAATCAATGTAGCTACCGATCTTCGGGTCAACACGTAGCTTCATGATGAGGAAGGTTATTGAAAACCTCTCATCACGGTCTACAATAAGCTTTGCTACCCCAACTGCGGGTATGAGGTGGGTTATACCTGGTGATGGAATGAAGACTAGCTCAGCTTTCTTCATTTTGAAACAAGGTTGCTTTCAGAGACACCGTAACAGATAGTGATTTTCATGGTCTTTTATTTTCATAATTTGTAGTGACTATTGATAGATTCTAAAGGATAAGTATGGATATGAATTTGGCATTTTGTTAATCATAAATGAGAGAATATGTCATTGCCTTGCTGTAAAGCGTCAGCTGCTGCCGCAAGCTGACAAAAGTAAGTTCGAATCTCCCTGTCAAATATTTAGATCAATTATTGTTGTTGAAATTTATTAACCATTAATTCTTCCGAAGTAAATTACTAATATTTTAAAACAGAAGAAACTTTTTATTATGCTTTCATAATATACTATTTACTTTTAGGTGTTTTTTTCTTTTTTTTTAGGTTTTTTTTTTATAATTTTTAAATTATTTCATTTCAATCACTTAAAATTTAAAATAAAAATTTTAATCCTTAACTCGATGCACTACGTACCTTCTTTTTTTTTTATTTGTTACATCAATTTATGTTCTTTTTTTTATTTAATTGGATATTAAAATTTTTAAAAATCAATCGTTATTTTTTCATACAAATTGACGATTATATAATATATATAAATAAAAAATATGTATTTAAAAAAAATAATCTTCTCATCAACATTAAATAAAAAATATTTTATTTTTTCATTGATTAATTTTTATAATACAAGTCTATACATTAATTGTAACTTTATTTTTTGGATATATTCTTCTAAAACAATATATTTTAAAAGCATTTTATTTATATTCTTAATTAATATTTCAAGTTTAAATTATATATTACAGTGTTTTTATTTAGGAATCCCAAAATAAAAAAATAAAAAAATTATGTTTTTTTCTGAAAAACTTTTATGAAAAACACAAAAAAAATAGTAATAATTAAATAAAAAATTAATGAAAAATTTTAAAATTTTGAAATGATTTTGTTCTATCTATCATAACATTGCGTTGATAATTTCAAAATTAATTTCTCATCAGCATTAAATAAGAATTTTTTTCAATTTGTTAGTTTTTATAAAAGTTTATCTATTAATTATAACTTTATTTTTTGAAATAAAATATTATGAAAAATATATTTTTAAAGTTTTTTTTTAATTCGATGAGAAGATTTTTTTTCATCCATAAAGAAGAATGACTTATGTTTTTTTTTAAAAAAAGAAATTATAAAAAACATTAGAAAAAATTAATTAAATAAGTAATTATAATTAAAAAAATTTTAAATTTTAAAATGACTTTGTTCTACAAGACCTACAAGTATAGCGTGGGTAATCGGCTAGTTAGTACTAGAGTGCTAATCTCAAAATCTTTCCGAGTAAATTACAAATTAATTTTTCTAATTTTCCAAAATTAACTAAAAAATCTATTTAATTTCAAAAATTAATTAATCAATTACAATCATCTTATATTTTTTTTAATTTAATTAATTTTTATTTTAAAAATAAAAAATAAATATAAAGAAAAAATAGATGTAAAAAGCTTTTTTTTTCAATTTAATTAAAACTAAAAATAAACTGATTAAACGAGTAATTAATTTTAAAAAAAAAACCAAAAGAAAATTTCAATTCTCTTTTAAAAGTAAAAAAAATATTAATTTATAATTTACTCATATTTTATGTCCTACGTCAAAAAACAGGTACGAAAATCACATCTCAATTTTTATTTTAACTCTTTGGTAAGAATGAACGTTACAAAAGAAACCAAAACAAATAGGTTTTTTTCATGGATCGTTTTTTCATCGAACCGGTTATTGAGTTTTGCATTTTTTTTTATTTTTTTTTTGCATATAATTGTTTTTTTATTTTACTCTTAATTATCTTCCTTGGTAGTCTTTTCATCATTTTTTGCAAGAGATTTTTTATATATATAAATACCATAATGGCAGCTATCATTATTATGTTCTCTTTTTTTACTTTCAACAATTTTGATTTCTCACACGGTTTTTTTTTTTTTCTTTTCTTATTTTACTGGTTGGATTTGGGCCCACTATGAGTGTTTTTTTTTCCTTCTTTTTTTGGAGTGGCTCTTTTCTTTTTGCCTGAAAAAAATAAAAATTCATTCTTGGGATTTTTTTAGGGAAATAAATTGTTATATATATATATATATATATATATATATAGTAAACTGAAAAAATTTTATGGCTTTTTTATATAAAAATAAATTCAACATTATATTGATTCCTTGTTAAAAAAATGTTCTCTTTGTGAAAAAACATAAGTTGCCTTGCTGTAAAGCGTCAACTTGCTACTGCAAGCTCACAAAAAGTAAGTTCGAATGTCCCTGTCAAAAATTTAGAGCAATTATTGTTGTTGAAATTTATTAACCATTAATTCTTCCGGAGTAAATTAGTTCTAGAGTGCTAATCTCAAAATCTTCCGGAGTAAATTACAAATTAATTTTTCTAATTTTGCAAAATTAACTAAACAATCTCTTTAATTTTAAAAACTAATTAATTAACTATTTACAATCTTCTAATATTTTTTTTTACTTTAATTTAATTTTTTATTTGAAAAATAAAAAATAAATATTATGAAAAAATAGATGTAAAAATATTTTTTTTCAAATTAATTAAAACTAAAAATACGCTGATTAAATGAGTAATTAATTTATTTTTAAAAACCAAAAGAATTGTTTAATTCTTTTTCTAAAAGTAAAAAGATTCATTTATAATTTACTCATATTTTAGGTCCCACGTCAAAAAACAGGTATGAAAATCACATCTCAATTTTCATTTTACCTCTTTGGTAAGAATGTGAGTTATAATTATAAAACAAAATAAAGTAAAACATGTTTTTACTATTTATTTCATTATTTAAGATACTATTTACATAATTAAAAATTATTATTTCTTTCACTATTCATATCATTTTTTGACACTTTGATCGTCAAATTTTCTAAATTTTGTTTATCAATTTCAAACTTTAATTATATTGTGATTTGATCTTATTTTATTTTAATATTTTATGTTAATTATTTTTATTATTTAAAATTTACTACTTTAATTTGTCATTTTTAAAAATCTTTTTTTTTAATTTCAAACTTTAATTTGTTAATTATTTTTATTATTTAAAATTTATTACTTTAATTTATCTTTTTTTAATTCTCTTTTTTTTTCAATTTCAAAATTCAATTATATTGTGATTTGATCCCATTTTATTTTATTTTTTTGTTAATTATTTTTATTAGTTAAAATTTACTATTTTAATTCATTAGTTTTTTAAATTCTCATTCAATTAATTTAAAATTATATTTATTGATACTTTTGAAATATTTTTCTATATGTTTGGATTTTGTAATAAAATTTTAAATATGATTATATTTTCTTTTAAAAAATAGATTTAGATCATTTTTAAATTATAGTAGCATGATTAATATACATAATTTTTCTAAAATACATTTTTAAATTAAAAGTGCATTTCAAATAATTTTTCCTCATTTTTTTATATTATTTAAAATTTACTAAATTAATTGGTCATTTTTTTAAATTCTTTTTGTTTTCAAGTTCAAACTTTGATCATATTGTGATTTCGTCCCATTTTTTTTAGTTTTTCTTGTTAATTATTTTTATTATTTTAAATTTACTACTTTAATTTGTCATTTTTTATATTCTTATCTAATTAATTTAAAATTATATTTACCTGATAGTTTTGATTTATTTTTCTATATGTATGTATTTTGGAATAAAATTTTAGAACATGATTGTTATTATTTTTTTTGAAAAATAGATTTAGATACTTTTAAATTATAGTGGCATATATATATATATATATATATATATATATATAATTTTTCTAAAATATATTTTTAGATTAAAAGTGTTTTTCAAATAATTTTTTCTCAATGTTTTTTATTATTTAAAATTTAATACAATAATTTTTCTTTTTTTAAAAAAAAATTGTCTCCCTTTTTTTTTCAATTTCAAACTTTGATTATATTGTGATCTCATCCCATTTTGTTTTAGTATTTTTTGTTAATTATTTTATTATTTAAAATTGACTACTTTAATCTGTCATTTTTTAAACAAATTCTCATCTAATTAATTTAAAATTATATTTACTTATATTTTTTATTTATTTTTCTACATGTATGGCTTTTGGAATAAATTTTTAGAACATAATTAGTTTTTCTTTTGAAAAATAGATTTAGAGAACTTTTAAATTATAGCGGCATGATTAATATATATAATTTATCTAAAATACATTTTTATATTAAAAGTGTATTTCAAATAATTTTTTCACATTTATTTTTAGAAAAAAAACTTTAATTAATTAATTAATAGTTGAAATTCTAATGTGAAAAATAAAAAGAAGATGGTTGCTCTGTACGTGAGGATTATATTCAAAGACTAGCCATGCATAGCATAGAAATAAAAAATATATTTAAGAAGGAGGAAAAAGAAAAGAATTCACATGTTTTATTAATTTGTTTCTTCTTTATATAATCAAAATTATTCAAAATCAAATCTGTAATAATTTTTATTTTAGTCTATTAACTTCAAATTTAGTCAATAGATTGGTTACAAGTTAACTTTTTATAGTATTTTTTGTTTTAGGTCGAAAACTCTAAACTCGCTTAGTATAGTTATGATGTATAAAAAAAAATTAAATTGTTGTTTTTTTTTAAATCAACTGTGCAACTACTACTACACTAAGTATTTATTATTTATTTGTTTGTTTTTGAATATTTTAAATTAAATAATTAAAATAATGTTTTGCCTTAACCACTCAATGATTCAAATTAATATAGTTTTTTATTTTCATAATATTCATTCTTTTTGTAAATAAATATATAAAAATTAAATTCATATTTTTTTAAAAAATTGATGTTCTCATCAACATTAAATAAATTTTTTTTTGTTCAATTCTATGTAAGCTTTTAATAATTGTTATTTATATTTTTTTACACAATTTTATAAAATACTAAAGATGTTTTAAAAAATTTATTTAATTTTCTTTTTAGTTAATAATCCATGGATTAACAAGGATGAATATTTTTTCTAAAGGAAAAATTATGAAAAACACAAACAAGAAATAGTTAAAAATAAAATTTTTGATTAAATAATTTTTTACACCTTTGATTTTATATACTTTTATAAATTCACACTACAAAACAGACTATCAAAATAAAATGATTTTTTTAAATAATTTTATATATTTTATTCAATTCGCAACGTAATCCAAGCAAAAAAACTTTAGAAACTAAGACAAATGGGTTTTTTCTCTTCGTACCCTATTCATTATGACCCAACTATACTATTCCCAACATGGATTTTTTTTTTCATTGAGCCGGTTTTTGAGTTTTGCATGCTTTTTTTTTCATATAATTTTTTTTAGTTTACTCTTAATTGATTGATGAAACAATTCTTTTGATTATTGTTTTTTAATATATTGAAGTTTCAAATAGAATGCATATGGTATTTTTGTTTTAAAAAAAAATTGAATTGAATGCATGTATATAATGCTAATTATCCATTTCTTATCCATCATTGACAAATTAAAGAACTATATAAGGTCTTTTTGTATATAATCCTTCGATAAAATGATAATTTTTCTCATTAATTTCAAAATATTTGCATTTTTTATCATTGACCTACTTTATTTCATAATCGACTTTGTTGATTTAAAATTTAATAATTCAAGTTTTTTTTGGCACAAAACCTCGTTGCCATATTCAACTTAGGATCACATAAGCCCCACACATAATTTACCAAATCTGAAGTAACGTTTTTTAGTATTTCAAATATGTACAAATATAAATATCTAATATTTATATTTTTAATAATTTTTAATAGAGTAATGCCAAACATTGAGATAATATGACAAAAAATATTAAAAAAATTACATAACGAATTAAATCAATAGACCTATAAGATTCAACCGTGCATGCTTAAGCTAGCCCTATAGAAAAATTACCAAATCTAGAGTAAAATTTTTATTATATCAAATACATGAGTAAATAATATCTAATATTTTATTTTATTTTTATAATTAATTTCAATTTAAATTATTTTTCAATCACGTATGACAATGAAACGTTTTTTTTTCTTTTCACAATTACGGTTGCATCTAATCTCTAAATCAATTACAAAGAACCCTAGAATAGGTAGTTTTTTTTTTTTTTTTCACTTTTCTCTTGCTCTTCATACTCACAAGATATTGTTCATTGAATGATATTTTTATGATCCAAATCAGTAGCATTTTTGTAATTTTAAGCATTTTATGTTTTCTTCTTTTGCTTTCAACAATTTTGATTTCTTACACGTTTTTTTTTTCTGATTTTATTGTTTGGGTTTGGGCCCACAATGAGTGTTTTTTTCTTTTTCTTTTTTTTTTTCAGTGGCTCTTTTCTTTTGCCTTAAAAAAATAAAAATTCATCGTCGGGATTTTTTTAGGGAAATAAATTCTTTTGATACTTAGCCTATACATATTAAACTGGAAAATTTTTATGGCTTTTTAATATAAAAATAAATTCAACATAATATTGATTCATTTTCAAAAAAATGTTCTCTTTGTGAAAAAAGGGGGAAATAATAACATAATTTTTTAGTTGATTGATGAAACAATTCCTTTGATTAGTTTTTTTTTTTTTTTTTTTTTTTTTTATTGAAGTTTCAAATAGAATGCATATGGCATTTTTTTAAAACATATTGAATATAATCCTTCGATAGAATGATAATTTTTCTCATTAATTCCAAAAGATTTGTAGTTTTTAACTTTAACCTACTTTATTTTATAATTGATTTTGTTGATTTAAAATTTAATAATTTAATTGTTTTGGCTCAAAACCTCGCTATCATATTCAACTTAGGATCCATATAAGCCACATAGATAATTTACTTACAAACCAGATATTAGAATTTTAAATTTTATTTCGATTCTTTATTATTAGTTTAAACATAATATGAAAATAAAAATATCTTTTAAATTTTTATTTTGATTATTTTATTTTTATTTCGAAATTTTTATTTTTGATAATCAAATAATATTTTATTAATTTAAAACTTCATATATATTGAGCCTTAAAGCACTTCAAATCCCTTTTGATTTTATGCACATGAGCAATATGGCCCAAGTTTATAACAGTATACCAAAAGTTTTTGTTGCCTAATATAAAATCTAAGCTTACATATATTTTATGGTTTGTTAACATAAATTAAAAAGAAAAACGAAAAAAGACAAAAAACTTTCGGACAAGACCTAGAGAACTAAAGAAAACCTGCCGTGAGCCCGACATTTATAGTTAAATCCAACATTTGTGCTAATAATAAAGCAAGTTGGACAAAAACATTAATTAAACAAAGACGACACATTTACAAGAAAAGATATTTTATTAGATAATGCTAAAAAAAAGTACATTTTATTCATGGCATGTTGTCTAGTACATCTTGAATGAAATGACTTAACCATGCGTAAGATGATCCACTATTCATCAAAGCTTTCCTACTCTTTTCACTCATTTCTTTCAGCTTCTTCCTTTTTCCATGGTCAAGCTCCATTAAACATCTTATTCCTCTTTCTATTTCTTCAGCAGTAATAGTACTTTCATCACCATCCTTGTTAAACAAATCCAATCTATAATCCATTTTAATTTCCACTGCCAATCCTAATTCCACAATCATTTGGAAAGCAATTAATTGTTGCTCTGCATGTAATGGCAATGCAGCGATTGGAACACCAAACCATATGCTTTCCAATGTAGAGTTCCATCCACAGTGTGATACAAATCCTCCTATAGAAGAATGTGACAATATATCTATTTGTGGAGTCCATCCAATCATTTTTCCGATTTTGGCCGTTCGATCTATAAATCCTTCAGGTAAAACTTCTTGAAGATTCACATGATCACTTGGAGCTTCCATATTACCCCCCAAAATAATGGCCATTTTTTTTAGTTTTTTTTTTTAGATATATTTTTCTTTTAAAGTTCAATTTTTTTGGTCTAAAACAAGCTCCTCATTTTTGGTTTCTTTGTTTTTTTAATACCGTATTGGCTCTTGATTTCATTGGCTCCAAAGTTGATACTTCTCTATTCTACTATCACCAAGATGATGTTCTTTATGTATTTTCAGTTCCTATATTTTATCCTTTTTTTTTTGGGGAACTTATTTTAGTTAATTATAGTTAGTTAAAATTTTAAGATTTTATTTCAATAATTAGAATTGATAATTAAATGATAGAATAATTGTCAAGTCTCTTAATTTTTAGGGATCGATGACAATTATTTTTTTTATTAACAAATAATAAAAAAATTATCAACGAAATCTCCTATCCGATAGGGATTGTCGTTTGACCCAAAAATAAAAATAAAAAAATAAACAATTTATTGATGAAGTCTCCTATCCGATAAGGACTCGTCATTACAAAAATCTAATAATCGGGATGTCCTCCAACACACTCGGTTGTGTCAAGGCTTAAAGTGGATTCGATGTTTGAACCGACGTGTCACTCTATAGAGGAGATCGATGATCGTTTCAATATGATGTCACACCCAACAACTACAAAATTTAATCCTCGCTTTCAAAATTAGAGCGTAAAAAAGTCAAAAAATAATTTGGCATAAATAAAATATTTTAGGAGATAAATTTATGATTAAACAATACATGGTACCTTTCTTCGGAAATGGCATTTTTTGGTGAATAAGTCTTTTCTCAAAAGTGTAGCCAACTCCTTAGCATAGAATCTCCGAATCGGTGCTACTTTTAGATTTCTAGTTCTTTAATACTGTGTGACGACTCCAAACTTATAAATAACTTTGTAAATAGAAGTTTTAGATATTTTTTAGAGTCTCGTCCGACGTCGAGTAGCGAGAATGGGGAAAAGTTGTAGGCTATGGCAATAGGAGGGTGGTCGTAAGGGAGGCTAGCAGTGAGGGAGTGACTGCTGGAATTTCCAATAGTAAGACGGTGTAGGGGGAGGCTACAAGTGGAGAGGATGAAATCGTGGGTTGTAGGGTGGCTGAAATTATTGACTTGGAGGGGCTATGTAGGAATTGCAAGGACAAGAGACTCCAACATAGCTTGTAAATTGCTGTAGGAGGAGCTGCAAGTTGCAATTCAGGGAAGATAGCAAAAAACTACATGAAGATGCAGAAGAAAATTGCACAAGAGATGTAGGGGAACTGTCTCTCCATCTCTTTTATTGAATTTTTTTTTTGTATTTTTATTTCTTTTTGTAATTCTGTTCTGAATTCTAAATAAATAAAAGAAAACATTTTTGATTTTTTTTATTTGTTTTTATTTTATATAAAGCCAGCATGAATTTAAATAATGAAAAGAAAAAAATACTAAAATAAAAAAAAATGGATAAAATTTTTGGGGTATGACAGTTATGGTCATGAACAGTATGCTTGTCACTTTCGGATCAACTTTTAAGCTCCAAGATTTTTATTATTTTTTTAATCTGAATCTATAAGGATTACTTATATCTTTTTCAGTCCTTTGTCCTTTGTAAGATAGGAATGATGAATAATAACAAGGGAACGAACTCATTTATTAATTAAGCAAAGCTTCAAACCCTAACCTCTTTTTTATATCTCATAATAGAGTTTATTTTTTATATTGTTGTTAACTCCTGTCAGTAAAAATCATCAGCAGCAGCATTAGTATTTTTTTTCCCTTGAATTGTCATAAATTGAGCGTTTCCATTGCTAGATCTTGCAAACACTAGATATGATGTACAAAATTCTTAATTGAAAAATTAAAATTGATTAAAAATAAAATTGACAAAAAAAAAAGTTTATAAACAAAATCTTTATAACTCCATTAATTTGTAGCTAAATTTGAGCCTTGCCCCTCTAAGAAGAGTAAATTATAAATTAGTCTCTCTAGTTTTGAAAATTATATTAAATAGTTTTGCTTGAAGAACTAATTAATTAGTACATTGATTAGAGTTAGCTATGATTAATTTAATATTATTTTATTTCAAAAAATATCTTCTTTTTTATTTTTTCATCAATCCTTCCATATTTTTTACTTATTAATTGCTTTTCTATTTCTTAAGTATAAAAATTGAAATAAATTGAAAAAAAGATTAAGTTTAATAAATTTTTAAAAACAGGGACTAATTAATTAGTTTTCAAACTAGAAGATAATTTCATTCGTTATAAAAAACTAGAAGAACTAATTTATAATTTTACTCATTCAAGAAATACAACCAGATCTTAAAAAAAGAAAAAAAAAAGAAAAGAAAAAAAAAGCATTTTTATTAGTAACAATATATATGAAGGGAAAAAAACGATACATTTTATTCATGGCATGTCGCCCAGCATGTCTTGAATCAATCGACCTAACCAATTATACGAAGATCCATCGTTTATCAAAGCCTTTCTACTCTTTTCACTCATTTTCTTTAACTTCTTCCTTTTCTCATCATCAAGCTCCATTAAACACCTTATTCCTCTCTCTATTTCTGCACTAGTAACAATATTTTTATTACCATCAGTATTGAGAAGTTCCTTTCTGTAATCCATTTTAATTTCCACTGCCAATCCTAATTCCACAATCATTTGGAAAGCATTGAATTGTTGCTCTGCATATAATGGCCATGCGGCAATCGGAACACCAAACCATATGCTTTCCAATGTAGAGTTCCATCCACAATGTGACACAAATCCTCCCACTGATGGATGAGCCAAAATATCTATTTGTGGAGCCCATCCAATAACTTTTCCAATCTCCATAGTTCGATACAAGAATCCTTCAGGCAAGGCTTCTTGAAGATTCACATAATCAGTTGGAGCTTCCATCTTACCCTGAGGTGGTGGTTGACGTAAAGACCACAAGAATCGGTGCCCACTCTGCTCTAGCGCACATGCAATTTCTCTTACCTGATCCACTTCGAAACTTCCCATGCTACCAAAACATAAATACACTACAGAGGAAAGAGGTTGAAAGTCAAGCCATTGTTTGATGTCTTTGTATTTGCTGCTTTTATCACATCCTGTATCGTGATCACCATCTGTATTAAGGTTCAAAATGGGACCCACGGGATACACCGGAGGAGTATTACCATTAGAAAAGGAACTCAGAGCATGGGATTCCAACTCTTCAAATGTATTTACAATAATACCCTTAGTTTCCCTAAACCTTCTGATGTTACCAAGGACAGCAGGCAGCCACTCTTTGTTAAGCATAACAGAAGGCAAGACCTTAGCAGGAAGTGGATTCGTTAGACACGGCATGACCAACTCGGCATCCGAGTCCTTGAACTCCGTAGGGTCAACTTTCTGCTCATCATGAAGAGCCTGGATATAAAACTTAAGACCAAGAAAAGCTGCACCTGATGTGTAGAAAATATAAGAGGGAACACCAAATTCATTGGCCACATCTATCATCGATATACAAAACATATCAAGAACAAACCCAGCAAGTCTAGGCGAGTCATGGCTTAGCTCGTAGTGACTCACAAGCTTAGAGACTTCTTCTTTGACATGGGGTTTCTGGGCTTCAATCAATTGAAAAAGAAACCTGTTGGATTGGTTTGGATCAGGCTCATCTTTAGGCAAGTCAATGAATTGCATACGTTTGCAAGCTGCACTCACTGAATCAATGTAGCTATCAATCTTGGAATCAAAACGTACCCTCATGATGAGGAAGGTGATTGAAAGCCTCTCATCACGGTCTACAAGAAGCTTAGCCACCTCTACTGTTGATACCAGATGGCCTATACCTGGTGCAGGAATGAAGATTAGCTCAGCTTTCGTCATTTTGAAATTGGGCTCTCTTTTTTCCTTTCAATGGCCATGTAAATGCGAGAGTGTGTGTAAAAGATAGGGATTTTCATTGCCTTTTATCAGCATTATCTGTGGCTATGGATAGGTCTGAATTTGAGATTGGTATTTTGCGAGCCATACTCGTGCAGGACAAGTATAAGAGTGAGGTCATGGCTTTGCTGTAAGATTGAACAGCTACTGCAAAGTGACAAGTGGACCAAAGAAAAAGCTCTTTTGTCCGTATCAGAACTTTAGATGCATTAGGTGTCCTGTTTCTTGACCGTTATTATGTTCCTGAGTGTCCGAGAAGCCTGTAATGAAAACAATATATTTATTTATTGAAAGAAATCCCTAACTTTCAATTTACTATGCTTAATAAAAAAAACATTTTTGATTTATTTAAACTCAATCATTTTGTGCTTATTTATGCTTAATAAAAAAAAACATTTTTGATTAATTTAAACTCAATCATTTTGTACTTATTTATGCTTAACAAAAAATTAATTTATTTAAACTTAATCATTGTGTACTAAATAAGTAGCATGATGAAGATAAAGGAATACAAGTCTCAATTGAATTGTGGCTAAATGAGTCAATTTTTTAATTTTTTTCAAATTAACTTATTTGAAATTAAGTTTTTTAATTTCAAAATTAATTTTTGGCATCTCTAAATTTTAATTTTTTTTTAAGATTTAGTCTATTCGATGATTTTCAATCAACATCACCTTCTCTAAAACATTCAATTTTTAATATTTTAAACTAAAATTTTACAAGCATGTTGAAAATTTTCCAAATTTTATTTTTTTAACATTAAAAATAAAAAAATAACTCAAAATAATCTCAAATATTTTTAGAAATCTCATATAAATATAATAAATGACTTTGTCATAGAACTATTTAAATGATAGTTATTTTTGAGAAAAATGCTAAAAAAATTTACTAACTTTGAAAAAAAAAGTTCTGGAATTCCAAAAATTAAATTTGAAGTTCAAAATAATTCAAATTTCAATGAATTAAAATTGAAGAAAGATTTGACCTAATTAGCTTGAAATATTGACAAATATTCTTTCTATTTCTCACAAGAATAATTGCTCCAAAGGATATTATCAGTCTCTCTCCAATTAGATGTTTCGATGAACAAAACGAAAAATCCACAGGTCACCAAAGCTCTCTTACTTATATTATATAGCCTTTTTTTTTAATGAAAAATTCATTTTCACAAATTTCTTAGATTGGACTAGAATAAACAAAATGTTTATCGATTGTCGTCATGACATTTGTGTCCTTTCACATTCATCCTGAAAAATAAAAATTTCGCTCAAAATCGAATGAAAATCTTTTATATTCCAACCCAATATATGTGTACTAATAATAAAAAACGTTGGACAAAAACATAAATTAAAGAAAGACAACCGATCTACAAGGAAAAAAAAAACATTTTATTAGATAATATTAAAAGAAAGTACATTTCATTCATGGCATGTCGTCTATCATATCTTGAATCAAACGATTTAACCATGTGTACGATGATCCACCGCTCATCCAAGCTTTCCTACTCTTTTCACTCATTTCTTTCAACTTTTTCCTTTTCTCAGGATCAAACTCCATTAAACATCTTATTCCTCTCTCTATTTCTTTAGCAGTAATAACACTTTCATTACCTTCCGTATTGAAGAAATCTAATCTGTAATCCATTTTAATCTCCACTGCCAATCCTAACTCAACAATCATTTGGAAAGCACTTAGTTGATGCTCTGCATACAATGGTATTGTGGCAATTGGAACATCAAACCATATGCTTTCCAATACCGAATTCCATCCACAATGCGATACAAATCCTCCGATACAAGAATGTGACAAAATATCTATTTGAGGAGCCCATCCGATTATTTTTCCGATTCCGGCCGTTCGATCTAAGAATCCTTCAGGTAAGACTTCTTGAGGATTCAGATAATCACTTGGAGCTTCCATCTTACCTTTCGGCGGTGGTTGACGTAGAGACCACAAGAATGGATTCCCACTCTGCTCTAAAGCACATGCAATTTCTTTTACCTGGTCGACGTCGAAACTTCCCAGCGTCCCAAAACATAGATACACTACTGAGGACTGAGGTTGATCATCAAGCCATTGTTTAATATCTTCGTAGGTGTTGCTTCCATCCGGATCACCATCTCTGTTAAGATTCAAAAGCGGGCCCACTGGGTATACTCGAGGAGTGTTACCATTAGAGAAGAAGTTCACAGCTGGGGACTCCAACTCTTCAAATGTATTTACCAGGACACCCTTAAATTCCTTAAACCTTCTAACTTGACCGAGGAGAAGAGACAGCCACTCTTTCTTAAGCATAGCAGAAGGCAAGACCTTAGCAGGAAGTGGGTTTGCAAGAAACGGCACTACCAGCTCAGCATTCGAGTCCTTCAACTCAGTAGGATCAACCTTCTGCTCATCATGAAGAACTTCAATATAAAACTCAAGAGCGAGAAAAGAAGCGCTTGATACAAAGAAAAGATAAGAGGGAACACCAAATTCGTTGGCAACATCTATCATTGATGTACAAAACATATCAACAACAATCCCAGCAAGTCTGGGCGAGTCAGGGCTTAACTCGGACCGACTCACAAGCTTAAAGACTGCTTCTGTGACAGGTTGTTTCTGGGCTTCAATCCTTTGAAAAAGAAACCTGCTGGGTTGGTTGGGATCAGGCTCATGTTTAGGCAAGTCAACGAATCGTATACGTTTGCAGACTGCACTCATTGAATCAATGTAGCTATCGATCTTCGGGTCAACACGTAGCTTCATGATGAGGAAGGTGATTGAAAACCTCTCATCACGGTCTACAATAAGCTTTGCTACCCCAACTGCGGGTATGAGGTGGGTTATACCTGGTGATGGAATGAAGACTAGCTCAGCTTTCTTCATTTTGAAACAAGGTTGCTTTCAGAGACACCGTAACAGATAGTGATTTTCATGGTCTTTTAGTTTCATAATTTGTAGTGACTATTGATAGATTCTAAAGGATAAGTATGGATATGAATTTGGCATTTTGTTAATCATGAATGAGAGAATAATGTCATTGCCTTGCTGTAAAGCTTCAGCTGCTGCCGCAAGCTGACAAAAGTAAGTTCGAATGTCCCTGTCAAATATTTAGATCAATTATTGTTGTTGAAATTTATTAACCATTCATTCTTCCGGAGTAAATTAGTACTAGAGTGCTAATCTCAAAATCTTTCGAAGTAAATTACAAATTAATTTTTCTAATTTTGCAAAATTAACTTAAAAATCTCTTTAATTGCAAAAATTAATTAATTACAATCATCTTATATATTTTTTAATTTAATTAATTTTTTATTTTAAAAATAAAAAATAAATATAATGAAAAAATAGATGTAAAACGCTTTTTTTTTCAATTTAATTAAAACTAAAAATAAACTGATTAAACGAGTAATTAATTTATTTTAAAAAACCAAAAGAAACTTTTAATTCTTTTTTAAAATTAAAAAAGATTAATTTATAATTTACTCATATTTTATTTCCTACGTCGAAAAACAGGTACGAAAATCACATCTCAAATTCTTTTTCAACTCTTTCGTAAGAATGAACGTTACAAAAGAAACCAAAACAAATAGGTTTTTTTCATGGATTTTTTTTTCATTGAACCGGTTTTTGAGTTTTGCATTTTTTTTTTTTTTGGCATATAATTGTTTTTTTTATTATTTTACTCTTAATTATCTTCCTTTGTTCTTATTTCTCGTCATTTTTTGTCTTTCATTGCTTTTTTTTCCTCCGTAGTCTTTTCATCATTTTTTTCAAGAGATCTTTTTTATATATAAATACCATAATGGCAGCTATTATTATTATGTTCTCTTTTTTTACTTTCAACAATTTTGATTTCTCACACCGTTTTTATTTTTATTTTTTTCTTATTTTACTGGTTGGATTTTGGCCCACTATGAGTGTTTTTCTTTCTTCTTTTTTTTGGAGTGACTCTTTGTTAAAACATATCTCATATTGAATAGTTAAACCAATAATAAATAACATATAAAGTTGAGAAGGGGTCACCTACCATAATGTTTAAATATTTTAGATGGAACCTAATCTCAAATATCTAATTCTATATAGTATCAAAGCCTCAAAGAGCGCCAACGACCCAAGAAAGATTCTAAGTCTAAGCCACTTGACGATTCCAAAAGATGAGTTGCAAGTGAGGAGAAGTGTTAGAACATATCTCACATTGAATAGTTAAACCAATAATAAAAAATATATAAAGTTGAGAAAGGGTCACTAACTATAAGACTTAAGTCTTTTGGATAGAACTCAATCTTAATTATCCAATTCTATACTCTTTTCTTTTTTACCTTAAAAAAATAAAAATTCATTCTTGGGACTTTTTTAGGGAAATAATTTTTTTTTTGATACTTTACCTATATATATATATATATATATATAGTAAACTGAAAAAATTTTATGGCTTTTTTATATAAAAATAAATTCAACATAATATTGATTCATTGTTAAAAAAATGTTCTCTTTGTGAAAAAACATAAGTTGCCTTGCTGTACAGCTTCAACTTGCTACTGCAAGCTGACAAAAAGTTAGTTGGAATGGCCCTGTCAGAAATTTAGAGCAATTATTGTTGTTGAAATTTATTAACCATTAATTCTTCCGGAGTAAATTAGTACTAGAGTGCTAATCTCAAAATCTTCCGGAGCAAATTACAAATTAATTTTTCTAATTTTGAAAAATTAACTAAACAAGCTCTTCAAAAAATAATTAATTAATTATTTACAATCTTCTAATATATTTTTTAATTTAATTTAATTTTTTATTTTAAAAATAAAAAATAAATATTATGAAAAAATAGATGTAAAAATATATTTTTTCAAATTAATTAAAACTAAAAATACACTGATTAAATGAGTAATTTATTTATTTTTAAAAACCAAAAGAATTGTTTAATTATTTTTCTAAAAGCAAAAAGATTTATTTATAATTTACTCATATTTTATGTCCCACGTCGAAAAACAGGTATGAAAATCACATCTCAATTTTTATTTTACCTCTTTGGCATGAATGCAAGCTATAATTATAAAACAAAATAAAGTAAAACATACTTTTATTATTTATTTTACTATTTAAGATACTATTCACACACTTACAAATCAATATTCCTTTCACTATTTATGTCATTTTTTAGCATTTTGATCCTCAAATTTTCTAAATTTTATTTTTTAATTTCAAACTTTAATTATATTGTGATTTGATCCTATTTTGTTTTAATGTTTTCTGTTAATTATTTTTATTATTTAAAATTTATTACTTTAATTTGTCAGTTTTTAAACTCTCTCTCTCTCTCTCTCTCTCTCTCTCTCTCTCTTTTAATTTCAAACTTTAATTTGTTAATTATTTTTATTATTTAAAATTTACTACTTTAATTTATCATTTTTTTTTAAATTCTCTCTTTTTTTTTCAATTTCAAAATTCAATTATATTGTGATTGATTCCATTTTATTTTTTTTGTTAATTATTTTTATTATTTTAAAATTTACTATTTTAATTTGTTATTTTTCAAAATTCTCATTCAATTAATTTAAAATTATATTTACTGATACTTTAGATTTATTTTTCTATATGCTTGAATTTTGTAATAAATTTTTTAAATATTATTATATTTTTTTAAAAAAATAGATTTAGATCATTTTTAAATTATAGTGGCATGATTAATATATATAATTTGTCTAAAATATATTTTTAGATTAAAAGTGTATTTCAAATAATTTTTTCTCAATTTTTTTATATTATTTAAAATTTACTAAATTAATTTGTCATTTTTTTAAATTTTTTTTTTTCAATTTCAAACTTTGATCATATTGTGATTTCGGCCCATTTTTTTTAGTTGTTTTTGTTAATTATTTTTATTATTTTAAATTTACTACTTTAATTTATCATTTTTTTTTAAATTCTTATCTAATTAATTTAAAATTATATTTACTGATAGTTTTGATTTATTTTTCTATATGTATGGATTTTGGAATAAATTTTTTGAACATGATTATTATTTTTTTTGAAAAATAGATTTAGATACTTTTAAATTATAGTGGCATGATATATATATATATATATATATATATATATATAATTTGTCTAAAATATATTTTTAGATTAAAAGTGTTTTTCAAATAATTTTTTCTCAATTTTTTTTATTATTTAAAATTTAATACAATAATTTATCTTCTTTTTTTTTTAAATTGTCTCTCTCTCTTCTTTTTTTTTTTTTTTTAATTTCAAACTTTGATTATATTGTGATCTCATCCCATTTTTTTTAGTGTTTTTTGTTAATTATTTTTATTATTTAAAATTGACTACTTTAATTTGTCATTTAAAAAAAAATCTCGTCCAATTAATTTAAAATTATATTTACTTATAGTTTTGATTTATTTTCTATATGTATGGCTTTTGGAATAAATTTTTAGAACATGATTAGTTTTTCTTTTGAAAAATAGATTTATGGAACTTTTAAATTATAGTGGCATGATTAATATATATAATTTATCTAAAATACTTTTTTAGATTAAAAGTGTATTTTAAATAATTGTTTCTCATTTATTTTTAGAAAAAAACTCAAATTAATTGATTAATAGTTGAAATTCAAATGTGAAAAATAAAAAGAAGATGGTTGCTCCGTACGTGAGGCTTATATTTAAGGACTAGCCTGCATAAAATAGAAATAAAAAAATATTTAAGGAGGAAAAAAAAAAAGAATTCACATGTTTTATTAATTTGTTTCTTCTTTATATAATCAAAATTATTCAAAATCAAATTTGTAATAATTTTTATTTTAGTCTATTAACTTCAAATTTAGTCAATATATTACTTACAAGTTAACTTTTTATAGTATTTTTTGTTTTAGGCTGAAAAAAATCTATACTCGCTTAGTATAGTTATAATGTATAAAAAAATATTAAATCGTTGTTTTTTTTAAAATCAATTGTGCAACTACTACTACACTAAGTATTTACTATTTATTTATTTGTTTTTGAATATTTTAAAATTAACTTATTTTAAATTAAATAATTAAAATAATATTTTGGCTTAACCACTCAATGATTCAAATTAATATAGTTTTTTATTTTAATATTATTCATTCTTTTTGTAAATAAATATATAAAAATTAAATTCATATTTTTTCAAAAAATCAATGTTCTCATCAACATTAAATAAAAGATTTTTTTGTTAAATTTTATGTAAGCTTTTAATAATTGTTATTTATGTTTTTTGACACAATTTTATAAAATATTAAAGATGTTTTAAAAAAATTTATTTAATTTTTTTTTAATTAATAATCCATGGATTAACAAGGATGAATCTTTCGTCCAAAGGAAAAATTATGAAAAACACAAACAAGAAATAGTTAAATATAAATTTTTTTATTAAATAATTTTTTACATCTTTGATTTCATATACTTTTATAAATTCACACTACAAAACAGACTATCAAAATAAAATAATTTTTCTAAATAATTTTATATATTTTATCTAATGCGTAGCTGTAACGCGAGCCAAAAAAATTAGTAGAAACTAAAACAAATGGGTTTTTTTCTCTTTCGTACCCTATTCATCATGACCCAATTATACTGTTCCCAACATGTCTTTTTGTTTTCATTGAGCCAGTTTTTGAGTTTTGCATGCTTTTATTTTACTCTTAATTTACTTTTTTGTTTTTCTTTTCCGTCATTTCCTGTCTTTCGTTGCTTCCGCGACCGCCGCCCTCCCCCCCCCCCCCTCACACACACACACACACACACACACACACACACACACACACACCACCATGCCCCCCGCCGCCCCACGGCGCGCGAGGCCAATTCTAAGGTGCCGCTCGCAATTTAAGGGTCCTTTTCATCATTTTTTACAAGAGATTTTAATTGCATATTTTTTTTATATTATTTTAATGTTTGGGTTTGGGCCAATTATTAGTGTTTTTTTCTTTTTTTGAATGGCTCTTTTCTTTTGCCTTAAAAAAAATTCATTCTTGGGATTTTTTTTAGGGAAATAAATTGTTTATATATATATAAAGTAAACTAGAAAAATTTTATGGCCTTTTTATATAAAAATAAATTCAAAATAATATTGATTCCTTTTTAAAAAATGTTTTCTTTGTGAAAAAAAGAGGACATAATAACGTAATTTTAAAAATTGATTGATGAAACAATTCTTTTGATTATATTTTTTTATATATTGAAGTTTCAAATAGAATGCATATGGTATTTTTTTTAAAAAATATTAAATTGAATGCATGTATATAATGCTAATTATCCATTTCTTATCCATCATTGATGAATTAAAGAACTATATAAGGTCTTTTTGTATATAATCCTTCGATAAAATGATAATTTTTCTCATTAATTTTAAAATATTTGCAGTTTTTATCATTGACCTATTTTATTTTGTAATTGATTTTGTTGATTTAAAATTTAATAATTCAAGTTTTTTTTGGTACAAAACCTCATTGCCATATCCAACTTAGGATCACATAAGCCCCACACATGATTTACCAAATCTGAAGTAACGTTTTTTAGTATTTCAAATATATACAAATACAAATATAAATATCTAATATTTATATTTTTAATAGAGTAATGCCAAACATTGAGATAATATGACAAAAAATATTTAAAAAAAATTACATATCGAATTAAATCAATAGACCTATAAGATTCAACCGTGCATGCTTAAGCTAGCCCTATAGAAAAATTACCAAATCTAGAGTAAAATTTTTATTATATCAAATACATGTGTAAATAATATCTAATATTTTATTTTATTTTTATAATTAATTTCAATATAAATTATTTTTCAATCACATATGACAATGAAACGTTTTTTTTTCTTTTCACAATTACAATTGCATCTAATCTCTAAATCAATTACAAAAAACCCTAGAATAGGTAGAGTTTTTTTTTTTTTTTTTTTTTTTCCTCTTGTTCTTCGTACTCACAAAATATTGTTCATTGAATGAAATTGTTATGATTCATATCAGTAGCATTTTTGTTATTTTAAGCATTTTATGTTTTCTTCTTTTGCTTTCAACAATTTTGATTTCTTACACGTTTTTTGTTTTTTGTTTTTTTTTTCTGATTTTATTGTTTGGGTTTGGGCCCACAATGAGTGTTTTTTTCTTTTTCTATTTTTTTTTTCAGTGGCTCTTTTCTTTTTCCTTAAAAAAAATAAAAATTCATCCTCGGGATTTTTTTAGGGAAATAAATTTTTTTGATACTTAGCCTATACTTATTAAACTGGAAAAATTTTATGGCTTTTTAATATAAAAATAAATTCAACATAATATTGATTCATTTTCAAAAAAATGTTCTCTTTGTGAAAAAAGGGGGAAATAATAACACAATTCCTTTGATTATTATTATTATTATTATTATTAATATATTGAAGTTTCAAATAGAATGCATATGGTATTTTTTTTTAATATATTGAATATAATCCTTAGATAGAATGATAATTTTTCTCATTAATTCCAAAAAATTTCTAGTTTTTAACTTTAACCTACTTTATTTTGTAATTGATTTTGTTGATTTAAAATTTAATAATTTAAGTCTTTTCGGCTCAAAACCTCGCTATCATATTCAACTTAGGATCGACATAAGCCCCATAGATAATTTACTTACAAATCAGATATTAGAATTTTAAATTTTATTTCGATTCTTTATTACTAGTTTAAATACAATATGAGAATAAAAATATCTTTTAAATTTTTATTTTGATTCTTGTATTTTTATTTCGAATTTTTTATTTTTATGATCAAATAATATTTTATTAATTTAAAACTTCATATATATTGAGCCTTAAAGCACTTCAAAGCCCTTTTGATTTTATGCACATGAGCAATATGGCCCAAGTTTATAACAGTATACCAAAAGTTTTTGTTGCCTAATATAAAATCAAAGCTTACATATATTTTATGGTTTGTTAACATAAATTAAAAAGAAAAACGAAAAAAGACAAAAAACTTTCGGACAAGACCTAGAGAACTAAAGAAAACCTGCCGTGAGCCCGACATTTATAGTTAAATCCAACATTTGTGCTAATAATAAAGCAAGTTGGACAAAAACATTAATTAAACAAAGACGACACATTTACAAGAAAGATATTTTATTAGATAATGCTAAAAAAAAGTACATTTTATTCATGGCATGTTGTCTAGTACATCTTGAATGAAATGACTTAACCATGCGTAAGATGATCCACTATTCATCAAAGCTTTCCTACTCTTTTCACTCATTTCTTTCAGCTTCTTCCTTTTTCCATGGTCAAGCTCCATTAAACATCTTATTCCTCTTTCTATTTCTTCAGCAGTAATAGTACTTTCATCACCATCCTTGTTAAACAAATCCAATCTATAATCCATTTTAATTTCCACTGCCAATCCTAATTCAACAATCATTTGGAAAGCAATTAATTGTTGCTCTGCATGTAATGGCAATGCAGCGATTGGAACACCAAACCATATGCTTTCCAATGTAGAGTTCCATCCACAGTGTGATACAAATCCTCCTATAGAAGAATGTGACAATATCTCTATTTGTGGAGCCCATCCAATTATTTTTCCGATTTTGGCCGTTCGATCTATAAATCCTTCAGGTAAAACTTCTTGAAGATTCACATGATCACTTGGAGCTTCCATATTACCTTTCGGTGGTGGTTGACGTAGAGACCACAAGAATCGATACCCACTCTGCTCTAGAGCACATGCAATTTCTTTTAACTGGTCCACGTCGAAACTTCCGAGGCTCCCAAAACATAGATACACTACCGAGGACTGAGGTTGATCATCAAGCCATTGTTTGATATCTTTGTAAGTGTTTTCAAAATCATCGTCTCTGTTAAGGTTCAAAACGGGACCCACTGGATATACTGGAGGAGTGTTACCATTGGAAAAGTAGTTCCCCGCATGGGACTCCAACTCTTCAAATGTATTTACCATAATACCCTTGCATTCCCTAAACCTTCTAACTTGACCAAGGAGAGGAGACGACCATTCTTTCCTGAGCAGAGCAGAAGGCAAGACCTTAGCAGGGAGTGGGTTTGCCAGAAACGGCACTACCAACTCAGCATTCGAATCCTTGAACTCAGTAGGGTCAAGTTTCTGCTCATCATGAAGGGCCTGAAAATAAAACTCAAGACCAAGAAAAGAAGCATTTGATGCAAAGAAAAGATAAGAGGGAACACCAAATTCGTTGGCCACATCTATCATTGACGTACAAAACATATCAAGAACAATCCCAGCAACTCTAGGCGAGTCAGGGCTTAATTCGGACCGACGCACAAGTTTGGAGACTGCTTCTTTGACTTGGGGTATCTGCTCTACAATCAATGAAAAAGGGTTCTTTCTGGGTTGGTTTGGATCAGGCTCATCTTTAAGCAAGTCAATGAACCGTGTACGTTTGCAGACTGCACTCACTGAATCGATGTAGCTATCAGTCTTGGGGTCAAAACGTATCCTCATGATGAGAAAGGTGATTGAAAATCTCTCATCACGGTCTACAAGAAGCTTTGCTACCCCTACTGTGGGTACAAGGTGAGTTATACCTGGCCATGGAATGAAGACTAGCTCAGCTTTCTTCATCTCTGTAAAAGATAGTGATTTTTATGGTCTTTTATTTTCACAATTTGTCACTTCAGTTATATAGATTCTAAAAGCATAAGTCAGGATTCGAGATTGGCCTTCGGTTAATGATAATCGTGGAAGAAGAAAACATTAAAGACTGAGGTCATTGCCCCGCTGTAAAGATTGAACAGCTACTAAATGGGAGTAAATTATAAATTAATTTTTTAGTTTCAAAAATAAATTGATTAACCCATTGCGTTTGAAAAAATATATTATTTAATCATTCCATTAATGTTTTTATATTTAATTTAATATTATTTTTATTTCATAAAATGTTTTTTTCGTCATTCTTTATATGTATATATATTTTTTAAAAAATCAAAATCAAAATAAATTAAAAAAAAATTGAGTTAGAAGTAATTTTAAAAATTTGAAGACTGAATAATTAATTTTGAAAATAAAAGAAATTAATTTATTTATTTCTCTAAACGCTGAGAAATAGGAGGGGGAAAAGTAATATTGTCCTGTCAGAAATTTAGATTAATTATTGTCCTTGAAATTTATTGACCAGTGCTTGAATTTTCAATGCTTAGTAAATAAATATGTACTAGAGTGCTAATCTCAATATCTTCCGGAGTAAATTATAAATTAATTTTCTAATTTTGCAAAAATAAATAAATAATTTATTTAATTTCAAAAACTAATTAATCAATCCTTTAAAATTATTGTATATATTTTTTCATTTAATTTAATTTTTTATTTTAATAAAAAAGATAATAAAAACAGATAAAAAATATTTTTAAAAAATTAAAATTTAAAACAACCAATACTAATTAAATAACTAATCAATTGATTTAAAAACCAAAAGAATTCTTTTTCTTAAAGTTTATAATTTACTCCAAATAGAATCGTTGCTTCGAGGTGATTCCATATCATTTCAATTTCCTTTACTTTTCAAAATGAGCGATGGTTCTATCATTAGAAAGAGAGTAAACCGCATGAGATTGCAACTCTTTAAATGCATTGACTTAAACATCCCTATCATTGCATCACACTCTAGAAGGGGCAAGAATTATTTGAGCCACTCTCAGTCACGGTTTAATGGCAAAATTTTGACAAAACTATTAGGTTATAACAATTTAAGATCTAAACTGTAACATCAGTTTTTTAGAATTTAAATTATTATTTATTAAAAAAATCATCTTTTTTCTATAATGATTAAAATATTGATGCTAATTGAAATATTGTTTAATGATAAATTTTATTGTAAACTATTAGAATTGTGGTAAAATGAAATTTGTACTATAAATTTAGATAATTGATACCATAAACTATTAATTTTTTAATAAATTTTATTATTTTCTATTATTTTTCACAATGAAAGTATTGATTGTTTTGCTTCTTTTTTTTTTCTAGAATTAAAATTAATTTTTTTTAACAATAGTTAGTTTTAAGGAAATTTAGATGATCTTATTGTTTATTGATTTAACTTTTGTTATTGGATAATTAATGGTGTGTAATGGATCATTTTAGTTAAAAAAGTTGAAATATTAATTTTTTAAATATTAATTTTGAAAAGAATATGTAATAATAATTAACTTATCTTAGATATATTTTTTTAGTGGATCTTATTTTTTTTGTTAGATAATTAATGATGTAGGATGGATTCGTCTAGTTTAAACAAATTGAATTTTTTTTTCAAAATTAATTTTAATACTAAAAAATAATTTAAAATACTTAAAATGGCATTGTTTCAAATATTTTCATCAGTGATCAACGCTTTGAGTGTAAAAAATAATGAAGAATAATAAAATTTGTTAAGAAATTTATAATTTGATATTTAAATAGTCCAAATTGATAATATATATATAGCTTATTTTGTCACAATTTTATTAGTTTAAAAATAAATTGTTTTGTTAAACCATATTATAGTTAATATTTTGACCATTAAAAATAATAAAAAATATAATATTTATTCAAAAAATAATAGTTTGAAGTACAAAAATTCCAAATTAATTGCACGAATATTAAATTTTCATACCCAAATAGTTTACAGTTATTTTTACCATTAAACCACACTGCCAAGCTGGTAACGACCGAAGGCTTTGCAGGAAGCCGGTTCGCCAAACTCGGAGTTTCCAACTCAACATCTAAGTTCTTGAACTCAGTGACGTCCACCTTTTCCTCATAATGAAATGCGTGTAAATGCATCATCAAAAAAAAAAAAAACCACTTCTGCAACACCAATTTCATTAGCCACATCTTTCGGTTCAGCGCAAAACAAACCCAACAAGTCGAGGAGAGTCAGGACTCAACTCGGACTGAATTTTCTGCTGAGAAGTGCAAAATAATTCATAATTTTAATATCAGTATTCATATGAGTTAAAGTCTCTTTATGTTTTTAAAGTTTTTAAAATATATAATCTTTATAATTACTGGAAGTTATTCAATCAAGAATTTAATATCAAAGTGGTATATATAGGGTCCTTCGTTTATATATTATATAATAAAATAATATTATATTAATATAATATATAAAATATTAAGCTGCAGCTATACCTAAGTATTTTTATCGAAAAATACATTTTCATCTTGAAAAGATATTCTTTGATATAGGGCTTTTGGCCTCCAATCAAATAAGGCAGCCAATCATTATCCATTGATTTGGGGTCGAGGAAGGGTAAGTCATTGAATCGCATGCCTCTAGGAAAAGTTGATGCAGCTAGTGATCTGTCATGACATTGCCAGTTGTGAACTTACACGTATTGTTCTGGAATCGAAAAGAAGGTTGTTCCATTATTGAAATGCTAAAATCAGTGTCGGGGTGGACAAGAATAGACGTATTGAAATGTTAAATCAGGGTCGTTTTGGACAAAGAACATAGGAGTATTCGTGGTGGACAAGAATAGGAGTGAGATCGTGATGTTTTAGACGGATTGATAAACTTTATTGCAATTGGTAACATATATTGAAGAGTTTTTGAGTTAGAATTTGTTTTGAATAATTAAAAAAAACAGTTTTTAGTCAAAAATATTTTTTTTCTTCCTCTTCTCGTTGCAATTAATGTAAAAACTAAAATTTTATATTATGACAATTTCTAAGACTCGTAACATATATTATTTAATAAAATTAATTGGTTTTATAGTAATTTAAATTTTTTGTCAATTTTTTTTAATTTTTAATTTTTTTGATTTAGGTCTCAAAAATTTTTGAGAGGTACCGCAGAGTGAACTGACTTAAAAATTCAAATTCAAATTAAATATTCTTTTTTTTCTTCTTTATATCTATTTTTCGTATTGGCTAAATATTATTAATTATTTTTTAGAGTAGTATAAAATCTCTCCCTATTACATAGTGACACCTAACAAGTAATTTCTCACGGCTTTGCTAGCTGCCAACTTTACGCAGGGTTCTCGAAAGAAGAAAAGCTTTGTTCAATTATTGGAGAGTAACTTACGTAGGGTTCAAACTCGATCGTTTGAAATATTAAATAAATCGAAGTATCGACCACACACATTAAGTCTTTTCTGTGCACTATTTGTGGCCATGAATCACGTTGAATGTTTAGTTGATTCCAAGGACCGTTGTTTTTAAACCCACCAATACCTTATGTTTACATTCATGGGAAAAAATAATGAGTTTTTAAAAGACATGAATCAAATTTCAAAATACTTTTTTTGACTATACCAATCTTCAACAAAAAAGATTTTTAGCCTTGAAAATTATTAGCTTTTGTCCTGTGGTAAGGGAAGGCAACGGGGTAGCTGATCTTTTACCAAAGCAAATCATTTAAAGGGATGTAGAGCTTTATGCCTGGTTGTGATTTATTTGGTTTCGAACTCACGAAGCTCAAGCCACTACTTTGCTAGCTATTTTTTTAAAATACAATTTCACTTTCGAGAAAAATACAAAATATATATTTATAATGCTTAATCATTAAATATTGTTATTTTTATTTATTTGAACTTAATTATTTGGATATAAAATAAGTAGGAAAATGCTATGTTGTTCGCGCAATTCGTCACGTCTTTTTCACCTTTCTTCTTATCTCATTGTCTTGCTCCATTACAAGCTTTAGCCCTTTTGTCATGTTCTCGACACTCACAATTTCTTCGTTGCCATACGGAAGAAGAAGATTCTGTTGATAATCTATTTTAATCTCCATTGCTAGATCAGCCAAAAATATCTTTTTCGATTACTATTTTTTTTAATTGATTGTTGGATCCAATAACCTTTGGAGGCCCTGTTTAATGTCAAAATTTATTCCAAAAATCTACTTCGAAACTTTTTGGTCATCCGGCTAGACTGGTAGAACAAGTTTAGATTGCTTCTGTTTAAGAATTATAGCTTTCAAATTTTCTTTTTTCTTTTTCGGGTTTAGGTTTTGATCATTTTCAAATTTATCAGTGATTTGTTTCTTTTTTGTTCTGTCCTTGGTTTTTTAGGGTAGACTATTCAAGTTACATTTTGAATTTTAGCCACCAGTTATCATTGAATAAAAAATTACAGATTCAAGTTCAATGCATATATATATATATATATATATATATATATATATATATATATTACCCCAACTTGATTTACGTGGACGACAATAATATGATTTATTTGCATTATTAATTAGGTCCCATAATTGTGATTAATCGGAATAATGAATCCAAAAAGTATGATTGGTTTGATTTTAAGTAGAATTTCAAAGTTTCTAATAATCAAATTAATATGAAGCCTTTAATCTTTTTATTTTTATTTATTTATTTTATTTTTTTGAAAGCATTTCCATTGGCATATGCTGGTTTGGTATCCCTTCCTGCTAACATGCTAATGTGTGGCTTAATTTTGTTGCTCAGGCTTTGTCTAGAATCGTGCCCCACTTCCGGTTAGTGCTTGCTTGGTATACCTTTATACTGCTTTCTTCTATTTTGGTGCTATGCTCTCTTTTTTGTCGTGGCTCCGTATATCTTCTTCTTTGAACTTCTGTTATTTCTAAAAATCATTATTTATAAAAAAATATTTGAAAGAAGGAGATCTTAAGCTAAACAAGGAGATACTGATACTAAATTCTTTTAAATAAACCTTAATTATGAAAGATTTATAATGTTTAATTAAGAGAGATTTTTTTTTTTATTTTATTCATTGAAATGTTAATTGGATTTTAAGGTGCACAATGGCAATAACTTTCACTACCGGAAAAGAGAAAATTAGAGACATTTTATCAAAATATCACTCGCTAAATGTATTTAGTGATGGATTTGCAATGGTTTTAAACCGTTCACAAAATCCTTGTCACTAAATAATTAGTGACGATTTGTAGTTTACCATCGCTAATTTTGCAATAGTTAATCTGTCGCAAAAGCAACTAAAATCGTCTTCAAAATTTGACAATTATATGACCATTTTACGTCGATTCCATTGATAAAACCTGAAATCCGTCATTAAATTTGGACAATTTAGCATCCACTTTTTTAAATCGTCGCTAAAATCATCGTAAAATTTTCATAAATAGTGACTATTTATGGAGTCCATCGCTAAATCCGTCGCTAAATCCATCTCTAATTATCGACGAATTTAGCGAGTATTTTACAAAAACCATCGCTAAATTTTAATTTAGTGATGGTTTTAAATCGTCGTTAAAATCAAAATTTTGGTTTTGTTTTTTTCAATTATGTATTTAATTGTTAAGAAGAAAATTTTAATTTATTCCAATTTCACAACTAAAAAAAGGCTATAAAATAGATTTATAAATATTATGAAACCATTATAATATATAAAATTTAATAAAATGATATATATATACTCAAACATCAAATTATTTTAAAGTTTGTTAACTTTTCAAAAAGAAGAAGAAAACATAAAAGCTAAGAGTGATTGGTAGGGTCGTCAATCGGAGGATCGATGGGATCGTCGGTCGGAGAATCGATGGAAGAACTACTTCTCTGCATATTCGAGCAACATTTGTCGCATCATCACATGCTTGCTCTCGAATATACTCGTTTCAACTCGGTTGTAATAGTTAAGAACGATGTAACGATACCTTCTAGTTTCTCGATCTTTTATACTTGTCTAGACCGATGAGCCTCTATTCGCTTTCGTTGGGCCTCCCTGTCGACATGGAACCTTGATGGGGTAGAACTAGAGGATATACTAACATTAGAGTAATAGTGAGATATCTATGGCCCGAGTTCGTACATCCTCTTCCTTTTATTATCTCCTCTTCTAACAACCTTTTTAAAAATCCGATTCATGTCGATGTCGATCGATGAAGTACCCTCTATCTGCTGGCTAGCAACCTCTTACTCAAGCATTTTTTCGACGATCTCTTACATAATTGCATAAAATTTAATATCATATAGCTATTTTAATAAGTTATATATATAAAAGTGGCATACGTATGAAATAATAAATTAATAACTTACTTTGAGAACTTTTGCTTCGTTGATCGATGAATATGTATTGATCATCAACTTTCTTCTTGTGAGTCCTTAAGAAAACCTCATGAGCATCAAGTTCATGACCTAACTCATTACACTAAAACAAATATACTTAAATAATTAATGATGTTGAAATAACTATAAACAACAAATAGTGTGTGTATACACACACACACACACACACACACACACACACACGATTTATCATACATATTATGTGCTCCTTCCGGGTGATCGAACCCTTTGTATGTCTAGACAGAAGCGGCTCCGATGCCATCGGTCTCGTTTTTATGATTACGGGTCGCTTGCTCAAATTAGGCATGAGCTTCGGGTTCGCCCATTCTTGATGCCATGCATCCCATATCTCATGTGAAATATATGTTGGTTTGGGATGTCTCTTCACATTATAAAGGAAGTTAAAATATCACATTCGTGTGAGACTCTGCCATGCTTTCTTTATGTTTAACTCGATATTCCACTTCCACATAAAGGACTTTTGCAAGAAATTACAAATATTCATTAGTATATTTAATTCAATATTAATATTTGTTAATTGAAATATACGGGCATATAATAAATCAATTAAACTAACAACTAACTTAAACTCATTTCAATATAACTCTTTAGTTTCCTCACTAATTGCCTTCTAGTTCCATCCGAATATATGAACATATTCATGGAATGTCTTATAAATACGACGAGTGCAAATATCAAAAGGATATAAGCTATTAAATAAGATAAAAATTAACGAGTTAAATGAATGCATAAATATAATAAAAAAAATTTTATATAAAAAATACATAATAATCAAAATTCGAGGATCGAATATAGATCCAACAGTTTCGAAGCCACACTAGATTGGATGTTTGGTGATAAGCCATGTTTAGAAACATGACGCTCATCCTGTTGGGGCGAGGGCTTTGATGATGATGAAGGGTCGGATGGGTGAGGATAAGGATATCTACAATAATACGGCTCGAGTTGAGACATGTCAAACGATGATGGGTTTGACAAAGGGGGACTAGGAGGGTGGTATGTAGACATATCGATAGGAGGAGAGAGGCATCCGAATAAGAACGAAAGAAACACTCGCTCTATGTCCATGGTCATCTGCTATCGTCGGTGTCCGAACCACGACCATAACCATATGACATGGACCATTATATGGAGGAACGTCCCCTACCATAAGGTATGACCTACACATTATCACATTAATTAGTTAAAATATTAATATTAACATAAAACATTGATATATATATATATATTAATATAAACAAGTTGAAATATATTAATTTTATGATAAACAAGGATTTTCATAATTAAATTAAAACATATACACACACACGCACACATACATATATTTAAATGTTACCTTATTAATTTGAAGTAAACCATTGAGGATAATCAAACCATATCGCTAATCACTATCCTAGTCATCATTATTAGATTCTTCATCTAAGTTTTTATCAATATCTATTTAAAATTTAACTTCATTATGTTCATTAATTTCATCTCCTTTGAAATCCATTAACATTCTTGTTGGATCGATCAATGACTGACCTTTTTCATCATCAACTTGGATAATATTGTGTTGGGCTTCCATTTCATTTTCTTGAAAAGATTTTGTAATTGTTTGGATCGTAATATACGATTTGAGCACATCCATCATCGGTCAAGGTTTGACCTTATATATAGCCAACCAAATCACACTTCGATGCACTTTGATATAGGATATGTTGCATAATACACCCGATGTGCTTGTGTTGATAGGATAAAAGGATCGGATTTGTTTGACATCTTATGACTA